GAGCAGGGAGTGATAAAGGCCGGATTGTAGCAGCCCACTGAATTGGAAATGACTTGTAGGCCTAATGAAACAGAACTCTGGCAGTAAAACAGAATGAAAGGAATGAGACAATAAAAGGCAGGACAAAGGGTGCAGAGTCGTTTCAGCTTAGCAAAATAAGCTCACTTTGTTGTTGGGGAAAGCCAAAGCCGATTAGGATAAACCAATGACTAAGCATAAGTCTTCCAAACTAATTACACAGTTCGCCATGTGAAGTATAATTGGAAGCCTCCGGCCGAAGGGCCGCCTGGCTTTCACGGAGCTCTGTGGAGCGGCAACACCTTACAGGTCCAGCGCCCAGACAGCCCGATCATCGCTGAAAGGTGTGGAACCACTCCATTGGGGATGAGGCGGAGGATCCATTAGTTGTAAAGGCCTCTTTCTGATCTCCAAATCCTATAAGTGAGGATGGGAGACACCAGTACTTGGAGGAGGGGCCTGCAGGGGAGAAGAGGCAAACCAGTGGACATGGAATCTCTCTGATCCAGTGCACCAAGCTGGGCTGTTCCGGGTGGCTCTGTGTGGAGAACAGGCTAATTCACTGCCTGGGTCCGCGTGGGCACATCAGAGCATCATTTACCTGCCATTTTTTGGAATGGCCTGTATACATCATTCCTGAACGTATGAAATCATGATCACAGATAACATCCACTAAGAACCCAAGGCAGTTAAATAAATTACTGTAGATCAATGTTTTTGACAAATGAATAAAACCTGCTCCCTGTGAGAGGCTGCTTGGTGCCCAAGTGGGAGCCCGGGTTTTATAAACAATAGCAGAGGAAAGGGGGTTGGCTGTATAAAAAAGAGTGGCCATCTGGGCCCTACCCAGCATGGACTGCAGGACAACTCCCCCTTCTCGTCGCCTACATAGCAGGCACCCCACCTACCTCCCTTGACACCCCCGAGAAGCACATTTTAAAACACATTCCAAAGCTCAGCACCTAAGCACGCGTAACTAAAATTTAGAAACATGAACACACACTCAAAGCATCTTCATAGTAAAATCTGATCCTCATAATCCTGAGTTCTGTTGATTTCAATCTAGCACACGAAACAGGGAGATGGAAGTACTCTACAGCAGTTTTTCTGGGTCTTACTCACAGGATGAGGATTCCAGTTTATAAATAGTGGCTTTTTCCAAATAAAGAATCCCTTCACTTGTCCCTGTATCATGAAGTCTGAAAATAAATCCTAACATAGTTAAGTCTGTTTTGCTTATTACGTGCCATGCTCACCACTGTTGACAATGTATTGTTTTTGTTACCATCTATAGATACGTTGAATTATAACCTATTTAAACTTCCTGTATTACTGACTTCTCAAGGTTAAAATATCTTAGCAATAACTCAGTCCAGAGGTCAGCAAATTATGGCCCACAGGCCAAACCCAACCCACCATCTGTTTTCTTATAAATAAAGTTTTATTGGAAGACAAGCACATCCAACTGATTACTTGATGGCTACAGCTGTTTTCACCCTAGGAGAGCAGGAGTAAAGAGCTGCAACAAGGACCAGAAGGTTTGCTAAGCCAGAACTATTTACTCTCCAGCCCTTTACAATTTTTTTCAGAAGAGGAACTGAGGCCAACGAAGAAATAACCTGTTAATGTGTCATGCAAGGGTCACCCCACTGTCAGGCCCAGCGTGAAGGCCCGGAATACCTCCTACACGACCCTTCTCCTAGGACACCACCTGAACAGCTCCCCAGGGTGAAGGACAACCATCTAAGTTAGTACAGTTCTCATGCCAATGGCCACACTTCACGACCTCATCTTAAACATAATAAGTAATGACGTCTCCAACCTGAGGGGTAAATATTTGGCAGGAAGGTGGGAAACAGCTCAAAAGGAAGCCTCCAATTTGAGTTATTTCGAGCTCCCGGTGTGTCATTCTAGACCCACTCCACACACCAGTAATGATATATTTAAACTCCCTGAGCTCAGCCCCTTGATGCAGTCTTACCCATCTTGACTGCCACCTGAATAAACAGTTGGAGCAGCTGCCACCTCAGGCAGGATGGGAAGAGGAAGAGGAGAGGGGAATGACGATGAGAGACCCTAAAAAATGGCACACCTCCCATGGAGCCTGTGGAGGGACGAGAGCTCTGGACTGGGAGGAAGAGGAATTCTGGCTCTTGCACTGCTTCACCTGGGTGACCTGGCTGAGACTTACCCTGTGCACMCTTCCCAAATGGTCTGGGTGACACCGATGAATATACACAGACCTTGGCCTGCCAAAGGGACGCCACCTTTTCCTCTCCTAAGCCACCTCCCAGCCCTAAGTCTTTCCTGAGGACTGATCAGCAGATGGCACCAGGCACAGAGTTCAGGTTCTGTTGTCAGACATGCCTAGGGACAGGGGGTCTGCACCCAACTCAGGAGGTTATAACCTGAATCAAAGACAAAAGCCCTCCAAAACCCCATTTAACAATCTGCAACCTGAGAATACAACCAGCAGCCTCCCACAGGAAAAAATTCAACAAGATAATATAAGCAAATGGCCTGGCCCAGAATCTAACACTTAATGAGCACTCGTTATCAACAATAAAATCGCACCTCACTAATTTGCAGTTGGTTTGAAGGYGGCCCAAAACAACTTCACATGTGCATGTGTGCCTGTGTTCACGCACGAATGTGAGTATACTTCAGGTGAGGGCCCACAGAGGGGGCTTCCTTCACCCAGAATATAAACTGCCAAGAGGAAGAGTCAGTTTCTCAATTTATCTGTTACCTCTCTTCTCAGCTGCTGGATTTACTAGTGGCCCTTAAGGCCTAGCAGCAGACTCTACGTACTTTGATCATCCTGGATTCAAATGAATTACACCAGAATCCTGAGAGGTGGTGAGCCCTGCCCAAGGGGCCAGAGATGTAATATTAGCCACCAGCAAAGGAGAAATGAGCTCTTCTGAAGACAGACTTAGATAATGCACAGAGCATATGTACAAAACAAGCTACTAACATGTGAGCAGAGACTGTTATGATTCTGGTACATTCAAAAGCCTCCTTAGTCCTTTAATGAAACACTTGATAAGTTTCTACATCCTGCCGGAATCCACAAACCTTAGTGCAAAATTAACTGGGTGGCGGCGTCAGACCCGGAGAGGGCTATGCCAGGGAAGATGGTCTGTGACTGCTTCCCAGACAAAAGGACAACTGTTCTCCGTGCAGCGATGGAAGCTGCCATGGGCATGGCCACGGCCGGCAGAGCATCCCCACTGCTGGCATCCTGAGTCACAATTAAAAGTGTTAATGAAAAACAACAGAAAGGGAGAAAGGAAGAGAATAAAGTGAGGAAGAAACTGGGCATCAGGGACGTGCAGAGATGTACCGGGTGCTGGCAAGTACGAGCCTGTCTGGAACACTCTAAACACCCATCTGGGCATCGGCAACTTCCCTGACACCTGCAGGCCCAGGAGATTCCAAGGCAGGTTATAGCTCGACAAAGAAATCCCACCTCGTGTTTGCAAACACTACCCCTGGACTTGTTTTAAAGGCAGCAAAAAGGGCTCATCCTCCAGAGCTTTCCATCATGCAAAATGGACCTGTCTCATTTAATTACTTCCAATTCCTCTCCATCGGCAGGGTGGGGCCAAGTGATGAACAAAACCCCCTTGGTGCTTTAAATCAGTCTTAGGGAGAGAAGCACCGTAACATGCATGGTCACCAACACCCTTAGCTATTCCTAGAACCAGCCAGAATGAGTCAGCCCCCAACTAGCAATTCCAGAAGGGGTGTAGGGAGGGCCTCTTTCAAAACCCACCTGGATGGCCAATTCAGTGCTATTTCAAATACACGTCTGGGCTGGAAGGAGCTGGTTCTCCTTGTTGCTTGGTCTCCGTCCATGCAGAAATAGATTAATGCTGGAGACAGGAAAATCTCCATTTCAAGGTTAACTAAAGGTCATGGCCCTCACCTGGGAATGGAGTCACAGCTGCCCATTGCCTTGGGCAAACAAATAAAAAGCACAGAACCTTCAGGCTGGCCAGTGGGCAACAGTGCCCGTGTCCTACCCGTGGTAAGTGTAACAGTCGCCGTGGGAGTAAATGAGCGACAGGGGTTAGAATACCGCCATGTCCTCTCAGAATGCCACCGCAGCTCTGCCAGGCCAGCCCTTCTAGAGAGACGAGGCAGACTTGTTCAGGAGATGGTCACACACCTGGCCTCCCACAACAATGCCCACAGTGACTCAGAGTTGCAGGAAGCAGAAGGCCAGCTCAGTCACTCACCTGCCAGTCTCCTTGGACCTGACATTTCCACAGAAGCCAGAGGAGGGAGACTACAAAAGAGACCCCTGGGGCAACAAGGCCATCTGAGGAACTCATTCACTGCCTCCCCCAGCCAACTAGCGAGAGGCATGAGAACAGGACCCTTGGGTGCTCATCCTGTCTATCTGCTACTCCATCTGTCGCATGTGCACCTTCCCACTCTGTTTCCTGGCTGATTTGGGGATTTTGACCCCGGCCTGCACCAGCAGCAGAGCTCAGGCCATCATTTCGCTGCTATCTCGCAGACACGCAAGTCAGAGAATGCTGACAGGTACGGACTGGCACGTCTTCCAAGTTTCCTTGGGCATTTAACAGGGAGAATGCTGCTGCCAAGTGCCCCAGGGAGCTGCATCTCTCAATGCCTTTGCCAAAAAGGCACAGAAGGAGGAAGCCCCCGCTCTGTGAGTCACAGCCYCGCATCCCTCCCCAGTCCAGGCCCCACGTGGGCAGCAAATGCCTGTAAAGCCACATTGAAAGGCCACTCTGTCTGCTCCTGCTGGCATGTGAGGCTCTGTGCTGACCACAAGCAGACTCTTCCATTGTGGCTCCTGCAGAATTTCACTTAAATCATGATGGCCAGATTCAAGGAGGACAGTCTTCAGGACATAGCTGTGGCAGAGGCAGGGGCCACAGCGGCCTCTCCYAAGGACCGGTGAGGCTACCTCTGGCCTGTAATATCCAACCCCATGCAGTGCTTACCTTGCCAAACTGTTCAAAATATTGCTTTACATCTTCCACTACTGTGTTCGCAGATAATCCGCCTACAAATATTTTCTTTGTTCTTGTGACCATCTGCAAGAAATGACAAGAGGAGAGCACAAGTTAATAACCAGGTTATCTGAAGTCATGTTCAGTAAGATGTTGAAGCAAGCCACACTCCACATTTATCCAGGAAGACAATTTTAAATCTGTGCAAGCTTCATGGTCCAGGCCACTGGATGTCTAAGGATGCTGGAGTCTGTCACTCTGTGTATCTTAGGCATTCAGTCTATCACCTAGAAGCCTGAGCTTGCCACAGGCTGAGGGGACTTCAGGACTTCAGTGGCCATAAGCCAGTTTCATTCTGATATGACCAGGATACAGAGAACAATCCTATATCAAGCTACTTCAAACTTCAGAAAAACAAGCAAAGCAGAGCTACATGCATAAAAACTGCCACCCAGAAATATTCCCAAAATCTTATTAATAAGAATTGCACACATAATTCAAAACTAAGTATGGGCTCCCTGGTCTCCACTGTCCTGATGCTGTGTCTGCAAACAGAACGCCCCACACCCAGGGACCACCCTGAAAGCTCTGTCCTGTACTCCTTCCCCTCCAGGTTTTGTGTAATTCATCTTGACTCAAAACCCACTAATCCCCAGGTTTCCACATCTTTGTGGATACAGGTCGTTTCCCCTGGAATTCCTCTCTATTCCTAAGTGTCCCTGTGGCAAGTTATAACTATTCTCCAAGGTCCCACAACCTTCTCCAAAATYCAAAATATCTGCTTGGGGTCCCAGCAGGGAGCTATTGCTCCCTCTTCTGAAGTCCTCTAAGGCTGGATCCATCTCCTTATCAAGGCACTCACTACTCCATCCAGGTTCCTCCTGTCTGCGATGCAGAACACAGAGTCAGGCACAAAAGAGTCCGTGCTGAATGCTTAGTGCGTGCAAAAATGAACACATATGGCCACGTGTGGGGATCCCATCAGTTTCAAATGCTCAGAGTAAGGACAGAGAGTCTTAGATGTAGTGTCCAAAAATTAAGGAAATAAGCATCATTCTCTGAAGGCTGAATTTAGGCTGTGTGTGTTGGCTTTGATTTTGTTTTAACATCAAAATGAAAAACTGAAAATTTTAGTGGGTGCAGGGTTCCACCAGTTGGGGTGACTAACAGTAATTTAAAAGATGCCATCTGTATCTGTCACAACTGGATGCAAGATGCAGAGCCCCTGGCTGCGTGGACTGGTCATCACCGGGACTCCTGGCAAGTTAGCAACGTGAATGACATGAACTAACCCACTTCCAACAGGAGATCATCTGAGTAACACCAGTGAATTGCAGGAGTATAAAAGGTACTAGAAATAGAACATCAGTGTCTAATTCTGGGTGTGGCCCTGGATGGGACTCATCTCCTGGGGTCTATTTTCTCCTCTGTTCCATGAGGTGCTAGATCAGAACCCCAAATCTCCCCACTGCAGAACTCTCGTGAATCTATGATGACCCAAGGGATAGAGGTTCCCAGACTTCCGGGAGCTCAGGTTTTGGTTTAGTGGTTCCCAGGATGTACATAAGTTAACACAGCCCAAATTGGAACAGCTGGGAAATGGACTTTCTGYGCAGTTTCAGGACGTTGTCCTAGCGCCCGCATACTATCGGTCACCTTCCTCTTAGGAGTACCATGCAGTGGCTCTTCCAAGCATCTAAAGCTGTGATTTATTGACTTCCATCTCTTTTCAGATGACTGGGGGACTTGATGAGATAATATGTGTGAGGACTTTCTACAAAGATCCCGCCAGTGTCCACACTTCCCAAGTTCCAAGGTCCTCTCATTAGCAGGTGGGCAGCCCACTCTTGCTCCTTCTTGTCCATCTCCATTCCCTTCCATCCCCTCGTCTCCCCGGCAGATCAAGGTCGCCTTAATGGTGAAACTCCATCAGGCCCTCTCCAGATTTAACTCTCTCATTAATAATCAAATTTTAGTGAACCTAACTTTCCTAATGTATTCACTCCACAGACACATTAAGTGCTAGGCACTGGAGCTTACGTTCTAATAGAACATAGAATTCAATCCACTATCAAATGTAGATATGATAATTAGCCTACCACACAAGATGCCCATTAGGGCTAAATTAAATAACCTATGCCAAAGAGGCTAACAGGGCACAGTATAGATGATAAATAAATGGTCACTGTAACTAAATCCAATGTCAGTTACTAAATTCACCCTCTAAGCTCAGAAAAAAAATGTGCAGCAGGAAGATGTATAATACAAATGGCTTTGAAAAATCAACTCTTCTGGCCYCGTTATCTTCCCCTAGAATTTCAAAAACACCTCCCTCCATCTGTATGGTTTTMGATGCGCAGAGACTCCTAACAGATTAATTTTAGAATTTTTATTTATTTATTTATTTTTACCCTAGCCCAGTAACTATCCATAAAGAAACACTAACATGACCTACCACCATGCGCTGCAGAACTCGACCTAAGACACTCTGGAGAGGCATTCTACAAAAGGAGCCTGAGGTCTCCCTCCTACACTGTTCAGAGCCAGGCAGGTCGACCACGGCAGCCCTATCTATCTTCAAACATTCGCGTGGACCTCAGAGAACGAAATGACCCCCGTGTCTTCATTCCAAATTACAGGAGTCAACCTAATGCTCGTTCCCCAGGAACTGGTTAAGAGAAAAGGCCTCCGCACACACCCTCCACTGTCGCCTGGCAGCCATAAACATGCCAAGACAGAACCCGCTACATGGAGGCAGACACCCAGCTATAAATCTACACAGGCCCCCAAAACACCTTTAAAATACTTTTTTTAAAAAAGAAAAAAGAAAAGAAGAAGAAAAATGAGAAATTCCAGGCCCCAGACAATGCACCTAAGTGTCTGAATTAGTAAAACATCCTCTCCGGGAACCAGCTCAGATACAGTGATGGATCCCACTCCCCAGCAACACTAAGGGAAACTGGTTTAATCAAAAGCTTCCAAATGTGAACAGGCCAGGGGAGATGCGCAACACTCGGTTAGCTGCTCACCCGTGTCTCAGCTTCAAGAGATGGGAGCACAGCTGGGGGCTAGTGGGCTGTRCACAGTGACCTCTCTCCTGCCAAGGCCACATGGGGCTAGTGGGAGGTGAGGGTCATCGGCTCTGGAAATCCTGACACCATTACTGCCAAATGGACTGTGGACAGCTCTGTGATCTGCATTCTGGAGCCAGAGGACCCTAGAATCACGTGCGCCTCTTCATTTTCCTTCCATGGCAAGGTTGGTGTGTGYAGGGGCGGGGGGCGGGGGGGGCACACCCCTTGAGTCCTGGCATATATTTACCAGGAACCGTCCAGTAGCCCCCTGAATTTTAACCTTCTCCTGACCTTAGAAACAGTGAGCAGGACAAGGGAACATTGATCCCCTGGCTCTATAGTCCTTTGAGTTATAAAAGAAAAAAAAAGAAAAAAAAACCTCTAGACCCAATGGAAGGGGCCACCTGTTTCCTTTCACCACGCCCTTCAGTAACTGATTCCTAACCTTCAGCCTTGACACCACTGTAGCACTTAACCCCTCGGGGGACAGGAACACCAGCCACTGCACACCAAAATGCTGGGACAGTGCCACTTGGCTCCCATAGGACACCAAGATGAAAAGAGCCACCCAGGGGTTCTAGAGTGCTCAGTCCAATGGCCACTAAGAAAGTGATCTTAAACAGCCTTTTCSGGGGGGGGGGGGGGGGGGGGGGGGGGGGTTTGGGTGGCCAGGTTTCAGGAAACCCTTTTGTACAGGAGTGCTTTCTACCATTGGAGACACTCCCTATCTCCCCAAGATCTGTGCATCCCTGGGCTACAGCTTCCCCAAGAGACCCCTCCTTTAAGGTTTAGGGTGTCACTCTGGAAAGCGAGGTGTGTGTGTGTGTGTGTGTGTGTGCATGCGCGCCTGTGCGCTCTTGCCAGTTTGCACGCAGGCAAGTAGGGAGTGGTCAAGCTCTCACAAATCCCCACTGCAAAGTTTTGCATCTAGACCCATAATTTAACTAAATACCACTGCTCTCCACACGCCCCTTGGTTCCACAAAGAAAGCCCCAGCAGCCATGCCAGTTTGGAAAATTGCTGTTTACACGTAAGTACTGGCCAAAGCCAGCTGCTAACTACCAAGGCAAAGAACCCCACCTTCTTGCCTCTAGTTGAGAGCGGGCCTGTTGGGTTTTCTTTTTAAGTATTAAAAATTCTCTTAAAAAAATACGCTTCTAGCTGGACTCATCATTCAGAATGGGGCCATTCCTTTGTATTTTTATGAAATATGATAAAGCAAGTGGTGTTTATGTGTGAGTGTGTGCACGCGTGTGTGAACACACAGGCATGTGCGGAAAGCAGAGAGGGTAAGGAGAGGTTAGTAAAAAGAAATCACTTCATTTTTTGCAGTACTGGGGAYTGAACCCAGGGATACTTTGCCACTAAGCTACGCCTCCCAGCCCTTTTTATTTTGAGACAGGGTCTTGCTAAATTGTCCAGRCTGGCCTCRAATTTGTGAGTAGCTGGGATTACAGGCACACCCCACTGCACCAGACAGAGAAACTTTCAAGAAGAGAAGAAGGGGAAAACAGCTATGGCAAAACTGGCCCAAAGATATCAGTAAACACAGAAGAAAAAACAATATCAGACAAATTAAAAAAAAAACATTCTTCATCCTGACCAATGAAGGGAAAGGCAAGAAATGGCTTGACRGGGAGGGGAGAGGCCAGAGAAATCAAATCAGCTCCTTCTATTATCATATCCCTGAAAAGAGTTCAAAGTCYCCTTGGTGTAAACTATGAGCCATGTTTACTGCCAAGAGCACAGGCCCATTTTCCAACACTCTTTCACCTACGGGGACCCAACGCAGACAAAGCAGAGGGAAAAGGATACAGAGAGGGCTAGTGTGGGATGGGATCTTGCAAACTTTCTAGGCCACCAACCCTGATCGTGCAGATGGAAGAATCGAGTCCCAGCAAGAAGGACTGATGCTAGTTAAAGGCAAGGTGGGTGATTAGGAGGACTACTTCCCTGAAGCCCAGACAAGGGCTCTGTCCACTACCCCATACTGTTAAGTGACCACGGAGA